TATACTGGTCCGAAACTAGGTGACGGGACTCCCAATGCATGGTGGCAAATTAAACACATATCAGCATGATACATAAAAGAAAGCACGGAATGACTAAGGATGAAAGGGGGAATAACTTCATACAGACTATTGTAAAGAACAAGACTCTAGTGAATGCTGTCTGCCATGCTTTTGGACACTTGGAAATTGAATCATTAGTGGAAAACCTTCCTGAAAAGAAATGCCGAGACAAATGATTTTACTGGTGAGTGACTTCAAGTCTGAAGGGACATCTTCTATTCTTCACATACTTCCAGGAGAGGGGTTGGGTAGAGAAAAACATGGCACACTTGTCCCTGAGCAGCCCAGCTCCCAATGTAAAGCTCTTGGATTGCTACCCAGATAAGACAAGACCCCACCAGGATCCGAAACCAGATCTCACTTCCCGTTTTCTTCCTCTTCCTCCCTCTAGAAACTAGTATTACAATTACAGACTCATCAGTCAAGGTCAGGACTGACTTATGTTTGGGTTTCCTTTTGGGTTAACTTAGCTAACTGAAGACTGTTGAGGGCATGTGCCTTTAGGCCCAGAGGCAGGCAGATCTCTGTGAGTTCAAGGCCAACCTGGTCTACATAATGAGTTCCAGGACAGTCAGGGCTATGTACAAAGTTTCTGTGTTTAAAAAAAAAAAAAACAAGAAATTTATCTTTTTTTTTATTATTATTCTCTCTGGAGAAATTTGACTCGACTCAATAATTTTTATTTCTGTAATGTACTTAGATACACAATTCTAGACAGAGACAAATAGCTACATCGTATACTAGGGTACTGTGATACATGGATAGCGTAATAAAATACAGGAGGGCAGATTATCAAAGGACAAAGCTGCTTGCATTCTAGAAATAACTAAGTACATCTTATATTCCATCAGAATAACAACAACCCACAGGACAATGAACATTTTTCTGAGGAGACTCTGAATCAGTGTCCAGAAACGGCAAGTTATATACAGTACAGCCGTGATCACTATTTAGGTGTCCCAGTGGAACTTTATTGGTGAGACTTTAAAGTCTGGAGGGGGCCAGTGAGTCTCCAATACAGACTCAAAGTGAAAAGCACAGGGTTGGGTCTGGAAATGGAGCCCAAGGCCCCATGCATGCACTGGGCTATACTCCTGACCCCTATGTGCCACCACTTCCAGTGATGGGCTGCTCTGTAGCCTCATCAAGACCAAGCAAGTGTTGGTATGTATCTAGAAGGAGATCTGGCTGTGCCCCTACATACTACATACATAGTTAACCTCTGACTTTGGATGTATATGATTGTGAAGGAAAAGAATGAATGCTTTTTCCTGCGTTAAAATCATTGAAGTCTCACAGATGGTTCGGGGACCATCGGGAACATAGTTAATTCGAGATGAACTAATTCTGTGTAAGCATGCCAAAACATGACACAAAAAGCATCATGACCAAACATCACCCCCGTCCATGCTGTGTAAATACTAAAAAACGGTACAGTCTATCCAGGAATGAAATCAGCAGTATACTTGGAGATAAAAGTGTTGGCTAGTCACTGCAGAAGGAAAGCCTCTCCAGCGTACAGATAGGATCTGAGACACTGGTGAACAATTTTTCTGAAAGCCTCACCTGTCTCAACTAGGGAAAATAAAATCAGGCCTGTCTCAAAAATGGCAGATACCAAGTAAGCGTGCTGGAAAATGGTTAGCCAAGCATCGGGTGCATAGTACGTGCTCAGAAAAACTGCCCCTTATTATTGCTGTTGGTAGAAACTTTGCATTCGGAGTGTCTCAGCTAAGAGCCATAACAGCGGGAACCTTACATGGTCTCTCAGGAAGGAAGAAGCAAACCATCACATTTGGCTATTGCCCTTCCCGGCTTGTTTTCCAGGTGGTTTTAATGACCTTTATTTAATTCATCTCAGAGAATGGAAATGATCTGAGCAGTTGTTTCCATTTGATGGTTCTTTGTGAAGTCTCATGTGTTCTCAAGAGGAGCAGTGCCCTTTAGAATGTAAATCAACCTACCAGCCGAGAAGCAGGGGTTGGCCTTGTAGATGGAACATTCTGCTCTTCCCCTGAGACTTCCTGTGACTAGGTCTCCTGTATCCCAGGCTAGCTTCAGTTTCTTCCAGCCGCGGATTCCCCTAAACTTCTGCCTTGTGCGCCCCACCTGCCCCCACCTCCCAAGTGCTGAGGTCATAGCACATGTCACCACACGCATGACACATGTGGTATGTCTTCTGTTGCCGCTGACACCTTTTAAAGACGCATCAACAGTACATTTGTACAATGTATATTGACTAATTTCCGTTTAGGTGAACATTGTGCTTAGACAGTGTGTAAGGATTTACTAGCTCCAGTATTTTTTCAAAGCCTCATTAGCATTGTGTTTAATTTTTATTTAATTTCTGTGCACATGCAGGTGTGTGTGGCGTGTATGAGTGTTGCATATTCATGAGTGCATAGCTGTATGGGAGTGTGCATGCGTGTTGACGCTACACATTGGTGTTGGGTTTCTTTCTTGATTGCTGTCCACCTTATATATTGAGGCAGTTCTTTCTGTATCCATACCTCCCTGCTGTGGCTATTCTGGCCAGCCAGCTTCCTGCAGGGACCCCCTGTGTCTCTCCCTCCTTTGAGCTGACATTACAAGCAGACTACCTCAGTGTTTACATGAATTCTGGAGATTTGAACTCTGGCAAGCATCTTACCCACTGAACCTTATCTCCAGCCCGTTTGTTTATTTTTAAAATCATCTGGCTGTGTTGCTTAGGCTAGTCTAGAACCCTTGGCCTCAAGTGATGCTCCTGCTCCAAGCAGATGGATGGAACTATAAGTAAATGACATCATGACTGGCTCCTCTGTTTTTAATAGAACCATGGGACACTTTACTGTCTCAATAAGCATCAAACCATGCCCTGGAGAGTCCAGGGTTCTAAAAGGTCAACTCCGACTGAGAATCAGTTCAAGAGTTCTTCGGGTCATGAACATAGGGAACCTGGAAGCCCGCCCCCACAGTGACACACTTCCTCCAACAAGGCCACACCTCCTAATGAGCTTACAAGGGCCAATGACATTCACACTACCTCATGAGTTCATGTAAAATGAGTTAACTTTTTCCATGTTTGATGTTTTCCATGATAAGAATGTTTACAATGTTTATATTCTTTTTAGCCTGGTAGCTTCATTTTTTTACTCTAAGGATATAATCTGAAATAGAAAGATTTATCCCAATGCACTATTGAGCATTACTTATAACAACAAAAACATCAGAATGAATGAGAGGGAGCAGTTCTGTGAATTGTAATACACTGCTCTGTTTGAACCCTGATAAAGATGTGCCATTGTCGTTCACTAGCGAAAGAGCCGAATTCCACATAGTAAGTGCATCACAGGTCCAAAAGTGTGAAATACTTAGTATTGAGGGCTACAGAAAACTCTGGGTCTGGCAGGTATGAGGAAATACATATGCATTGTGTTCTAGATCATAAGGAAGCTACCCCAGGACTCTGGAGGCCAGTGTACATGCCATTATACACACCACACACACCACTCTAGCTTAAAGTGATGGCTGTCTTGTCTGAAGTTGATCAAGCAGAGTGACAAGTGACAATGGTCTGGCCCAGTGACTTCTGCATAAATCATAAAAAATTAAGCAATTTCAGACTGATTAATTATGTGAATATTATATATTAAAAACTACCATAATATACAACATAAATGTTCACATTCAGCATAATATTCAACAAACGGAGGAACGTGTGCCATTTTTATGATATTAAAAAACACACAAGACATCATGTCCAGTGATAGAAACCAGAATAGGGGTCAGTCTTAAAAAGTGAGTCCTGGAAAAGGGTACAGCAGCCTTGTGGAGAGGCGGGCCAGGCTGTGTCCTCCGCTCTGTGTTCAAGGCCAGCCCCAGCTATTTGAGAGTCTGCCCCATGCACACGTGTGCCTGTGTGTGTTGGGGGTACTGGAAGGCCACTGCATTCATGAAGCAGGAACAGGGGTTTTCTATCTATAAGAATGGACATTCTTACAGATATTCAGAAGTTATGGGAAGATTTATGACGCCTAAAGGTAGAGCTTGGCTAGTCAACAAAGAGTTAAAGGAATTTTTTTGTTTGTTTTTTATTGTGCACACTACTAGACTTGTGGGATGAGAGACTTCTTTCCCCAGGCAGTATTTTGAGGAAAGGAGAGTAGAAAATGGCATATTTCTTGCACACCACCCATTATCCTTTTTTTGGTGGTGGTGGCGGGTCAAAACAGGGTTTCTCTGTGTAGTCTTGGCTGCCCTAGAACTTGATGTGTAGACCAGGCTGGCCTACGCCTGCCTCCCAAGTGCTAGACTAAAAGCATGTGCCACCACTGTCAGGCTTTTTTTTTTTTTTTTTTTTTAATATAGATTCCTTTTACAATGTTTTGTGCGTCTTCCCTGCATGCATGTGTACCTCATGCGTGTCTGTGGCTATCAGAAGAAGGGAGTTGCATTACAAGAAGCATTACTAGAGCTACCATGTGGGAGCCGGGAACCGAATGCAGGTCCATTGTAAGAGCAACAAGTGCTCTTAAGTGCTGAGCCATCTCTCCAACCCTAGCGGTTTATTTTTGTAATGCTTTTTTCTTGCCCAGAATGGGAGATCGAGTGTGGGATCTGTCCGCGGTGCTGAACGCGGTTGTCCGTTTCCAGCCTTGGCCATTCCCTGCAAAACAGGCCCCCGGGCCCGCCCTCAAGCCGGTTTCCCCCGGCTTATCTCGCCACTTTCCTCGGTGCAGAGCCCCAGGGAGGGCGGCACTGGGGTGCTGATAATCTTGGGCTGGGCCTCCCTCCCCCGGGCGGACCCCTGGCAGGCGGGCGGCGGCTGGGGCCTCGGCTGGCGTGGTGGCGCCGGCGCCTCCGTGCGCGCCCCCTCCCCGGCTCCTGGCCTCTGCTCCTCCCCCTGCCCGGTCCCGCCCAAGTGCGCCCGAGGCCCGTGCCGGTGGGGAGAGGGCGAGGGCGGCGTTCCGGAGGGCGGAGCGCGGCGCGGTGAGGCGCGGGCATGGACGCGGAGTACCCTGCCTTCGAGCCGCCGCTCTGCAGCGGCCTCAAGCAGCTGTGCCAGCGGCTGCGGGAGGCGTACCGCGAGCTCAAGGAGGACCTCGCCCCGTTCAAGGATGACCGCTACTACAGGTAGGCGCGGAGGGCCCGAGCCCTGGGTCCCCGCCGCCGCGCCCCAGCCGCGGAACGCTGAGCCCGGGACGGGGCGAGGGCTGCAGGTCAAGGGCGGCCCCGGGCGGCCTGGTCCTGGGCCCTTCTCCATCCCAGTGAGGCTAGCCTTAGGAGGACTGTGCTTTCGTCCCTGCTTGGCTCCTCCCTCATGTTCCAGTCTCCCCTGCCTGCTGCCTAGCGGTGGCCACCGCGGCCTGGCCAAGCCCTGCTTTGGGGAGCCACCGACCCCCCCAACGCCTTTACACACACACATACACACACTCACACCTGAGCCCTGCTTTGGGGAGCCACCGACCCCCCCCAACGCCTTTACACACACACACACACCTGAGCCCTGCTAACGCCTACACACACACACACACACACACACACACACACACACACACACACACACACACACACACCCCTGAGCTTAACGGAGCAGGATACGCTTTCGCCTCTGTGCTGGGGAGCTCAGGCCCAGGAAACTCCAGCCATAGCTTCTTCCCTTTCCAGACAAGATGGGTGTAGCATCCACGTTTGAGCTCCTCCTCTGGAGGAGCTGTGGGCGTGGGTTTGTTTGAGCTCTTTCTGTCCGCTCACCTACAGTAGAAGCCAGAACTGTGGAGCCTGCAGATGCTTGGGATGCTTGCTGAAGGGCACCTTTGCCTTCCACCCTGCGCTGTGCTTTCTGGAGGAGAAGTGTGTCTGTAGCCAAAGGCCTTGCATGTAGTTCATGGGGCTCTAGGGAAAGGGCTTCCTCGGGTGCAGAGGCCTAGGTTGACTGACTGTGTTGCTGAGTAGCTGTGTGTGCTGGGAATTACCTGAATCGAATCTCAGTCTTCCTCATCCGTGAAATGGACAGCTTGAACCAGGCTTCTGCAGGTGTGAAGTCTAACATGTGAACAGTTTGCACAGTTTGGGTAAAGGGTTGTATGCTGGGCTAATAGTTACACTGTTCTCCAAAAGCTGAAACCTAAAAATCCCAGGGGCTTCCTGGAGCTGTATCCATTGCTACTGAATGGAAAGGCCATTAAAAAAAAAAAAACAGATGAGGGGACTCATCGGGTAAAGTCCCTTGCCTTGCAAGCCTCATGACCTGAGTTTGCTCCTCAAACCTATGTAAAGGTAGGAGAAAACCAGCTCTAAAATGTGTGCCCTCGCATCTACAAGCATGCTGCGGGCATACATGTGCCTGCGCTTCACACATCGTAGACACATGTGCACACACGTATCATAACGAAACTTAAAAACGTTTTGTAGTGTAGGTGATATGGTGCCAAGACCCGGTGAGCCCCGTGTTAATCCCTCTAATGAAACCTCCTAGGAGACCCAGCAGGGAAAGGAGCTCATGGGCATTTCAAATTGTACTGTTGAAATAAGATAACCTCCCATCTCTTTCCTGAGTGTTTCCCACCGCTCTGTTCCATGTCTACTGAGAACGTTTCTTTGGTGGAGGTAGCAAATAAGGGCGCGGTCTACATGCAGGTAGCAGAAAAGAGAGTAGACCACACACGTGGTTAATCTGCAATCGGGTCATCCAGCTGGTACTGAGTCTCTCCGGTGACTGCTCTACACGTGGGAGACTTGTCCGTGAGCAAGAACGACTTGGGACTAAATTGAGGCATTTATAGAAATGTGGGATTTCCTGTTGCCATGCAAGCCAGCAAGACAAACCAAGAGATGTGATGGCAGGACGGGACTACATCAGGTCAGGTGGTCAGGGAGAGTCTTTGAAAGGAATGAGCAGCTTGCTAGGTGGGGGGTCATGGATGAGAATGTCAGGAGAGGAAGAAGTACTAAGTCCCTGGAGCACGTGTGAGCACGATCTGTTCAAGGCACAGACGGAAGGCAAGAGGTTACATACCATCTTCGGGCAGCTCGGGTGGATTAGAGCCTCCATGTCAGAAAGTAAGACCGGTTGTTGTGATAAAAACAAACAAACAAACAAACCACACTGGCAAAGGCAGCTGGAGGGGAAAGGGCTTATTCTGGCTCCCAGGGATATAGTTCATGATGTCCAGGAAGCCAGAGAGCATCAAGACCACTAGCTGTATTCACATCATAACCAAAGTCAGGCAACAGAGAGAGAATGTGCAGCAACCTTTCTCCATTTATACAGTCTAGGGAATGGCACTGCTCACAGTGGGCAGAGGTCCCCACCACAATCAATACACTCCCCCAGGCATTCCCGGGGTCACACATACACACACACACACACACACACACACACACACACAGGCTTAGCCAGGGGCCCCCCTCACACACACAGGGATGTCCAGGGATCTCACGCGCACACACACACACACACACACGCTTATCCAGGAGTCACACACACACACACACACAAACACAGGCATGTCCAGGGGCCCACCTTCCAGACGGACAGTCCTAAATTTTGTCATGCTGACAGTTCATACTGACCATCACACAATGAATACAGATCGCACCAGAACAGCAGCATGAAGTCACTGGGGTCACTAGCGGCAATGACAAGCACTCTGCCTGCCCTGTGGCAAGCCTGTGAGTCTTCGTCATCTGAGTTAGAGTCTGAAGACAGATTTGCCGAAGTTGGAAGGGTGCTTCGCACCAAACTGTCCTCAGCCACCACACTGAGTCTCCACATCCCTGGGCCATTCCTTCGCACCCCAGCTGGAATGCTCTGCCGCAGCAGATTTGCCACTACTCTGTTGGCAGCCACTCCCCCTCACGTGCTTGTTCCCTCACTCATGATTAATGACTAAAGCACACTGCCCCCACCCCCAGGAAGACCAGGGACTAACCTCACAAGGTCGACAATTTTCCTCTAACGGGGTAAAGCAAGGAACACAACTGTTAATGGCTGGTCTCCCGATGATGGCTGGCCCCTGTCAATTGCAAAATCGGCCCCTAGTGGAAGCTGCAGCCATGTGATCCTGGGTCCTGGGTTCGATTCAGTCCTTCAAGAACCCCCCCTGGATTTAGAGGAATCGCTGAATTCCACCATGGAATCATATCAGAAAAGTAAAGGCCCTGGCTGCCACCTTACCAGAGATGTTCCATGTGAAGATAATCCCAGAGATGTCCTTAGCCAGAGATAACAGACACCAGCCCAAGCCAGCCTGCACAGTGAGGCCAGGCAGCATTGTTAGTCCAGCAATGGGGGCGGGGGGAGGGGCTAGCCATCGGGGCAGCTACTTCTTGTTCATATTCATGGGTCATGGGGAGGAGCTCTTCCAACACACCCCCAGTCACGGCGTCAGTGGAGAAGTCAGAGCTGTTGACAAGGACCTGTAACTGTCCTATACTTCAGATGGGGTGCAAGTGGGTGTCATCTCTGCAGAAGATTGGCATTGTCTGCAAAGGCAGGGTGTACACCTACCCAGAGTTTCCGCTTGAGTACGGTGTCCTTCAGGGACACAAATAGGAGTCCACCAAGAGACAGGAAGCTGTTCATATCAGAACAGGTCTGTGCTGACATCAGTACAGTATAATGTTTCTAAGCCGGAGGCCAACTGAATGTTCATCCACGTAGAATAGATGTGTTGCACTTGCTCCATAATTCAATATTATATGGCGATAAGCACTTCACAGCTGCGCGTAGCAAGACTCTCACAGCTAGACACTATCCCCGGCCTCTTACTGTGTCTCTTAAGGGCTTGCCACTAAAGAGACAACTGCTCCAGAACCCCAAGTGTCACCTGGGAAGGTTGGCTGGCTGCACACACATCCTTTCCCTGCCAGGTCCCCAGTGAACGCCCAGGCCTGAGCCTTGTGGATCCCTCCAGGCCTTGCCCTGTGTTCTGAAGGGTTTGACCCTGAGGTGGGACCTACTGAGACTTAGAACTCTTGCCCTCTGCTGCAGTGACCCCCTGTGCCTAGTTCTACCTCTATGATTTCACGGACTCTGTTAAGGTCTCCTTGGTGCTGTGTGAATTAAAGTGGACCCTTCGTTTGCTTTAAGCAAAACAGCACCATTAAGCACCTTGTGGGAAGAATCAAGCGTCCTGTAAGAGGGTCTGGGGATGCTCCTGTGTGCGTGACTTGGACGTGCTACAGAGGGACTTCATGCAGGGTGGCTGTGTGAATTGAGGAGGGTTACAGCATTGGAACCAGACACTAATAATTCTTATTACCTGCATGGCAGCTTCCAGATCAAAGGGAGAGGCTAGGCAGAGGTTCCCTGATCTGGGCCTCTGAGTCATCCAGGACTTCTGAGTGTCCCTGTCAATGAACACAATAGAAGACTCAGGTGGGACTGAAGCTTAAGTCCGAGTCCCAGGCAAAGCTGCCCTCTGTCTGGTCACTGTTGTTCACTGAATGAGGAGGAGCAGTGTGACATCCATCGGCCTCAGCAGGGAGGAAGATGAGGGGATGTCTGTGGCAGCAGGAGCCTCTGCATGCCTCCCCTGGACCCACTGCCAGTGGAGTGTGGAAGGAACCTTTACTCAGAATGCAGGGAGAATTGCTGGGCCCAAGCTGTGTAACCAAGTCCTGCCTGTGTCCACGGCTGGGGACTGGGCAGATCCGGGCTTACAGGGGTTTGATGGTGCAGAGACACAAAGACAAAATACTGGAGCTGCTTGCTTTGTGGTTCAATCAGCTTTGATTATTTCTGTGAGGGCCTTAGGGTGAGCACGTTATTTACTTACTTATCCCTGACCTGCAACCCTCTGCAGTTCGTGCCGGCCTTGAAGTCGAGATCGTTCTGCCTTAGCTTCCCCAATACTGGCATTATAGCCACGAGACACGGCCTTGGCTTTTCTTTCTTAAATATCATCTTTATGTATTTATTTTAGTTATTGTTGATTTACTTTTAGAGTCCTAATGTTGCTCCGGTTGGCCTGGAACTCACCACGTAAACCAGGTTGGCCTCAAACTCAGAAATCTGCCTGACTCTGCCTTCCACATGCTGGGCATTTTTTTATTTTTGAAGTGTGTGTGTGGGGGAGGGGAAAGATAAGTGTGTGGTGTATGTGTATGGTTGGGAGTGTGTGATGTGT